AAGCTCATTTTTCAGACCATCTCAGGAATTCTCTTCCAATGTATGAAAGCTAATGGCCAGTTGAGATGAATCTTGGCATCCCAACAATTTTGCACGATTAAGTAAAGGTTTCTGCACAAGGAATGGAGCGGGATGTTATTTTTGTTCAAAGCATAATGCACAATGTAGAAAGTAAATCTGTCATATAGAATGAGATGAGAACATGGTTTTAAGTCTTACATCCACCTGTGTTATAGAGAGGTGACTGTGTATGTATGTGTGCATACTTACCCACATGTGTATCTGTATATGTATTCACCTCTGTGTAATACTTCTTTAAAATATCCAATATTATATAGCTGCAGGCTAGGATTTAAAGAAAACATCTGAGAAAATAAAAGTAATTGAAGGCTACATCTTGATTTCTTACTTTTCATGGTTTTCATTTAATTTGATTCCATTTCATTATTTTTCCTGCTCTTCTTCTTTTGAAGGATCATCTTTTAACTGGGTAAGACAAACCTATGTAAGATTCACAAATTACTTTTTATCACATAGTCAGTGAGGGGACAAGCATATATTTACAAGGCAGACATTAAGAGGATATAAGATATGTCTTATAGGTAAGAATACATGCAGTATTGCAAGACAGAAATGCTAGCTGACAACTCTGGCTCTAGACAATAAATGAAACTGGAACAACATATAAGACATTGGACTCCTGCAGAGTACTGTGCTTGCAGTGAGTTATGAGTGCTGTCCTTTAACAGCAATTGGTTTCAGATTGTTTGGTCAGGACTACTGGTGAAAACTGAATGCCAAAATTAGAAAGTAGGAAGCTAAGCAAAAAAGCAGATCCTTGGGATCCAAGCAAAATGAACTTAGGTGGCTTGCTGTGAAGAGAGTGCTGAAGGCCAGCCTGCCAGCTCTCTTTCTCTCTCACTTTCTCTCTCACTTGTGGACTGATGTGTCTGGTTACAACTCAGATGTGTTGATGGCCAGAGTGGGGGCAAGGTCTCTACAAATCTTCTTGGTTACGTGGCATTAAAAGGTGCATTCATGAATAGCCTGGGTGGAAAGAACAATACTTTTGTGTCAGGTCATCCTCATCCAAATATTTTTGCTGTTAAGTATTCTCAAATCTTTGGTTATTGAACTGTGTACTAGTCAGAAGTGAGCAACATGTTCTAGATCTTTGTCAAGCAAGTTAGACTGTTTACCCCATAAAGCAATTGCACTGTATTTTTCCCTAAGCATTTTGGTCCTAGTAAATGTAGACTGTATGTATCTTGTGGGAAAAGACTGCCAGAAATTACTACTTTATTCATTCTTAGTTGCACAGGATGTACTTAAACTAGAAAGCAGAGTTATGTATTACAGGCTAGCATCTTTGTAGATAATTCAACATATTATTAAATAAGAAAAGTAAATCAATCAGGCCCAATTTGTCTTTTTCCTGTTTTTAACATGCTAAGTCACTGCATCAAAAAACAAGTCCTGAATGTGGATGGAGTTCTACGTAGTAATCTTATACATCTAGAGTAGGACTGAATGTTGAAGGATCCTTCCTTTACAGGAAGAAGTAGTGAATTTACCACTACAAAAAAAAATAAAAAATGCAGATGATGATAGTGGATCCAAAACTATTTTGCAACAGTTGGTTGAAATTACTGACATTAGAAGAAAGCAAATGAGGCTGACTTCAGCACATGGTCTGATTGTAGACTGTGTGAGTTTAAGTGAAGGTAAGGGAGATCTGCAAGGAGCATTATAAACTGATGCATTTTATTTAATTCAAGTTTTGAATTGAGTTCCAGATTTTCTGGCTAACATGTCTTTTCTAATTCCACATGACTGCCCGATCCCTGGCTTACCTTAAAACTACAGGCAAAAGTCTGTATTTTCATACTGCATTTCCTGGACTAGCAGCATTGGAAAGTACTAATGCAGGCAAATACCTAATATTTTGCAGTAAGTTTAATGAACAAGAAGGCAGGAAATATAGAGGAAAAGCAGTTTCTCAGACATGTTTTCTTCAGCAATATGCTTACTGAACATGTGTTTTCTTTCAAAACACCAGAGGAAGTGGAGCATTTCTGTTTTCACTTCTTGTGTCTTTGACCCCCTGAGTGCGAGGATTCATTTTTAACATTGTGATTGAAATTTCAATTGCATTTCCAGGTTATTAAACAGGAAACATGGCTTGTTCATTGTATTAGCATGACATCATCTTGTTTAGGTAAAGAGGTGTGACTGGATGTAAACATCTTTCTCTGACTAATAAGGATTAATTTAACACTCACAATGGGGAAGAGAGCTAAAGCCCAGCACACAGAGGCTGTCCATATGAGGGGCTGAGGACTATATTACATTGCTGAGAATTGGAATCAGCAGTTGTGTCTCAGGAGTAGTTAGATGAAGACAAGGCTCCATAGTGGTAGGAAAAGAAAAAAAGGATACAGAATATTATTTCCTCCAAATGGGGCTGAGCTAGGTGCACAGACAATAAGATTCCCCCATATCAGTACCCACAGCAGGACCCCAACAGGGGCCATTCTGAGAGGATACCTCTCCTTGTATTAGGTCAGCCTTCTGGATATGTAGGGAAACGTGGAATCTGTCTGCCTCAAAAGGATAGTATTCACAGAAGGACTTCTGTGGTTGCTTTCCATATTGTTTTAAAAAGATATGGCCAAATTGCAAAAGATATGTGGCAAAACTTCTTACCAAATGTTACTAGGAAGTCAGAAGCTGGTGAGAACAGAAGGAGTTTTGATTTTCATTAAGATTGGCCGTCTTGTAAGAAAAGTAATTTGGGATGGAAAAAATGGAATGGCATGAAGAGAAAGTGAGCAGAGCTTGAGCTAGCAATCTTTGCCTCTCTTTCCCAAGATGATAAAGGAGGAGTAGACTACAGCAGCCATCAGGTAGGAAGGCTAACCATTTTTCACCAGTGTCCAAGCCGTGTTGTACACAACTCTGTAAGGGGACTGCTTAAAATCATGCATAGGGAGGAAGGTTTTCCAATACATCATTCATTATCGATCCTCTTCAGCGCTCCACCATTTACACCTACTCTTGGTTCCCTTGCTAGAAGCTTGCACTCAGCAGTCAATGCAATGCACACCAAATGTTGTAGCACATGCTTCTAAGCAACAAGGTGCTAACACGGATATTGCCAATCTGGTTAAAACGTACAAACATAACGGATAAGATGCTTTCAAGAAATAAGAGTTCGCTAAGTCAAACTCTACTGTTACACAACAGGAGTGTAAGGAGTAAAACTAATTCAAACAAAATTTCTTTGCCAAAAATGAAAACATGTGGTCTCTTTCATGGGCAGTTTTCAAATTTCAAAATAGTTGATTGTCATAGTTAATAGCATTCTAAATACTGTCAGTCTTCTCTGTTTTCAGAGGCCATTGTACTTTTTGTCATTTCTGCTGTTGGGATGAGTTTTCAGCTGTATAGGATAACACTAGATGCTATATCCTACTTTAATTTAGACTGACAGGAATTTCCAGTTAGCAGACAAATAAGTAGTTTTGATTACATTTGTTTTATATCTGTAATGTACAAATGCTATCAAGTTGGATTTTCTCTGGTGTATAAGGGATATAAACAGGCCACTAAGTGATTCTTTGTTTCAGATATAAGTGAATAGACATAGAAAGGAATTGCCATTCCTACCATCCAGTATTTATTACCTGAGATTCCTTGTGAGGCTGCAAAAAAAGACAGATTCACTAAAGATTGGTTTAATTACTTTTGTTTATAATGTGAGTACTGTTTGTGTCCAGATCTCCATAAATTAAGGATTTCTGATCAAGTCTGTGGATTGCACCTATCTCACCAAGTTATTTGTAGCATGAAGTTGCAGTCACTTCTTTTGTCTTTGTGAGATGAATCTTTACTGCACTCAAGCAAAAACTATTGATTGTTCCAACAACTTTGATGCTGCTTGCATACTAGTTCAAATGTGTTGACCCAATTACCTCATCACCTAGGGAAATTCTAACTTTAGGTTTTGCTTCATATGTTGTAAATGTTGGTGGATTTTTTTCTTTGTTCATCTCTTCCATTTACTTTTTCTCCCAATTCCTACCCACTATTATTCTTTTTTTCCCCCCTACCTTAGAACATTAACTTAATTCTGGACTATACAAGGTCTCCATAATCCTGAATTTTTTAACATTTACTAATTCTGTTATTGCTATATTACATTTCATCCAGACTTAATCACATACTCATGACATTGTTAGGATTTAGAGTAAGAACTAGCGTTGAAATCGACATAGTTTTACATGTAATGAAATTTTAGAGTGTTAAATTTGAACCACAGCCCTCAAAAGCTGAATCTTATTTTCCTATGGCACATTTCCTCCAAGCTGGTCAGGTGGTATGAAGCGTATCTGAATGTTTTTGGGAATCACACGCAGAGATGGGCAGAATATACTACTGCAAGAGGACAGTGCATAGAAACATAATGCAATATTTTACCATTGCTTTTAATGTTTACTCCAAATATGTACAGAGGCTTCAGATTTCAAAATAACTTATGCAGTAAGTACAAGGATGTGAACACATGCTACTAATGAATGGCACAGAGAAATAGGGCTCAAATACAATACTCATTGCAGAAAACAGCCTTGAAATAATAAATATTAAGGCTATGACTAGTGGACAAAAGCTGTAGACACGAAAATGAGGCCAGGATTTTGTTCTTATCCTAGAATTCAGTAAAAACTTAATCTTCCTCCTTTATTAGCATAGTCTAGAAATTTAAAATACGTGTTTAAGTCAGATTTAAACATAAAATATTTCATCTCAGATATCTTGACTGTTAATATTCCAAAATAAATAAAATTTCTAATTTTTTTCTTACTGTAACATATTTAAATTAAATAATAATGGCCAGTCTTTGCGAGCGAAGATTTGGGAAAGGTCATTAACCCTTCGAGCCTGCGCAGTGGATTTTTTAGGTGAGACACAGCGTGCGCTGAACTGAGCCCACCCTTTAATCCTGAGGTTCATCTACCGGGGCCAAGCAAACTTGGACAGTGGCAGTGAGGTCCCCAGGACATAGGTTTGTTTAGAGTGACCTTCTCTTAGATGGATGGTCACCATCATTTAAATTATCACCATCAAAATAATGCCCCCTAGTTTTTCATACTCATGCTTTTTTAATTCTGACACTTTTCTAATTTAATAGCAGAAAACCACATCTTGGGCTAAAATTTTTTGTACTACAATATGTAACACAGGCATTTGTTAGTAACTGAAAATGTCACTTCTAAAATCAGTAGATTAAACAGTGAACTTTAAATGTATTGAGCGATCTTCTTATGTAGTCTTTTACTGAGTCTTTTAATATAACAAAGACAATGACGGATACAGAATGCAGTGATAGATACCAGTATCCAAATCTAAGTCCACATGTAATAGCAAAGGAAAACTTAATGAAAAAAATCTTTCTTATGACACAATGACATTATCTGAAAGCCAATTTCTTTGGCAACAATTCATATACCTAATAATTGTTGTCAAACATAATAAGAAAAAAAATACTGATAATTTTTTCTGTATGTTGTATAGAAAATTTGTTATTTGACACTTGAAATGGCAGCTAGTTCATCAGCTACTACAAGTTATCTTAGCTCTACTGAAAGTAAGGTCAGTTTCTGTCATCAGAAGATCTGCCTCTTTGATAACTTTATATCAATGTATATGTATTAAATTTTTAATGCTAACATTTTAAACAGATTCCATAACCTTTTACATAGCATTAAGACTGATGGAGAACTTTACTGTAATCCGTAACAGTCCACAGCATAGAAGGAATAGATTTACTGCCATTTACACTCCATCCATGCTCTTGGTCTAATAAAAACATTACCACTCTCTGCAGCCTTGTCATGGCTTCTTTCTTAATGGCCTTTCAGAGAGACACTTGAAAGTATTAAATGGTGAGACATCTCTAGAACTATTTAAAATTAGCTGAGAAAATTATTATATAAAGAAGTGTATAAACTATGAAAATATGAAGTTGTTTATATATATAAATATCAAACAAACCTCTAAAAGTATCTTACTTACCATGTAGTTCACTGGCCTGATTCTTCCTTTATTCACACTTCAAACAACAAAAATATTTGCATTAATTCACAGTTTTAAAATGGAAAAAATATTCCACATGCCACAAGTGAGAATAAAGCAAAATTTTTCTGAAGGATCAGCAGTGAAGAGTGAAAATGTTCATTTTGTTATTCCCTTTACTGCATACCCATATGGACTTTTAAATTCCCTGTAGTAGTTGTTGCCTTCTCCTCAGCCAACATGTGGTGTAGTTGGTAATTTTTACTTTAGATTGAAACTGCCTAAAAATATTTACCAAGAATTGTTGCCACAAGTTTTTACCACCTAAGCACAGCTGCAGAAGATCAGTGTTCTCAGTACTGATGCGATCTGTAGAGTTTCCTGATAAATGCTGCATGCATTGATACATTAACATTCTCTGCACCAATACTGCTAAGTGATTGACTTGCACATCTGTATATTACAAAAGCTCACAATGCCATGGCCAAATTTAGCATGTGATTTTTAAACAATGTGACTGCTTTCATTTTAAATATCTGGTAATCAGTATATTTTTTACCTTCATGGATATGTCACCGAAACTGTTTTAAGAGGTAGCTTTGCAGTTTGAAGTTAAATGGTTTTGAACATTAATGTATGCAAGCAAACAAAAGTGAAATTTAAATTTTCATACAGAGGTTTCTAAATCTCTGCTATTCCAAAGTATCTTTTGAGTTTGATTTCTGACATTTGAGCACTGTACTCTATGTTGAGAATCTGAAGCCTTTGCACCATTGGTCAGGAGAGTTGACATTTGTACAAAGAAGGAAATGAATAGTAAATGTTTTTCCCATTTTTCCCGTTTACATCAACACCTGTGTTCTTGTATCAGGAAGCCGAAGTCCTACCAGACCTCCACATACCAGAACAGTAGAAGCAAGGAGAATAGGGATTGCTTTGGTGATACCAACAAGGGAACCAAATATTAGGTTTCCAAGTACAGCTGCAGCTTTGCATAGTGCATTCAGAAAGCCAAAGCCTGTTGCCCTAGAAGAGAAAACAGAAGAAACTTTTAGAAACGGGTGAAAGAGTAAAGCCTTTGAGACAAATCCTCAGTGGGAATAAATCAGTATAGCCCCAATATCTTACACACAGTCTATGCCAATAATGATTCTGTGCTTGTATTTATAATGTGAAATCAAAGCTCAGCTACTACAGTATTTGGTTGAGGCAAACTCATTTTGCTGCCTCAGGGACCAAAATGTGAAACTAATGACAGAATGGGTGAGTTTGCGGCTCTAGAGTAGAACATGGGACTTGCAAATGGAAATTCAGTAAGAGTTAAAAGGCTGGATTAGGAGAGAATGGACATGTCAAGCAGCTCTCAAAAGAGAACTGCTTGGGGATCTGGGAAAGAAGTCATCAGAATTAAAGGATGATCACCTTTAATAAAAATAAAAAATAAAAATTAATTTCTTACAGGCGGTACACATTTTAAATCAATGCTTTTTCAAAAGGCTAATGAGACCTCCAATAACAATGGATGTTTACCTCTTAGAGGTAAAGAAGATAGGGCATATAAAAACCTGTTTTCTGCAAAAGAGGTATCTGAGAAACTTTGAGGAAAGGGAAAGGAAATGGATTGCCAACACAAAGTATGACACAAGCAATTCAGGTGGGCTCTTGCATTGCAGTGGTGTGATTATAGTAGTATGAAATAAAGTGTTCTAATTGTTTGGTAGCCCATTGTGCAAGTTTCGAGCTGGCTTCCTGCCAAGCCCCCGAAACTCGACAACAAGGACCCGTTTCCCAGAGAGGGAAGAGAAAAGAAACAACCCAAGCAGCCAAAGCTACAGCAAAAATATATACATATATATATTTTACATATGAGACAGATACACACAACGAGAATACCACACACCACAACCCCAGAAATCCCAAACAGCTCCCCAAAAAGGGAAGAGGGGGAGGGAGAAGGGAGAAGGACAAAAAGGGACAAAGACCGAGCAAGTCCACCAGCCAACTAAAGGCAAACTAGCAAAAATCTCACCACTTCCCTTTGAACAGGCAGGATGGCTAGACACGGCCCAGCGCTCTCCCCTCACACGTGGCAGATAACGGCAGTCACTGTAGGCCTCAGCTCCAGATAAGCCAGACCGAGACAGGGACCCACAGTTCTCGAACCTCGCCGGAAAGGAAGAGAGCGAGGTCCCTCCTGCTGGCTTTATTTATACCTCAAGTTACGTAAAGGAATAGCATGGAATACTTCCGTGATCACTTTCCTAGTTCCTTCCTGGTTATAAGCTGGTCTCCAGGAAAGCCTAGAGTAAAACCATCACACCCATGCACAGGCGTATTGTGCAAATTGCTATCATTTTCATAAATTGTGTTTTGACATGACCATATGATTCATAGATGCAGGAATAAACTTCCTCTTCCAAAAGTGTCCTAACAAAAATCCCTGCATGATGGTAGAATCTCTAACACTTCTCAAATCTCTTAGAAACGAAAGAGAGAAGGACTGTGCAGAGCTCACACTGTGTTTGCTGTGGAAAAAAATAATAAAAATCAGGAAGACAGATGTTTTAATTTTCAGAAAAAAAAGTTTCTTTCTTGTACTGTGATTAAAAGGCCCTAGTCTAAACTGAAGGTATTAACAGAAATGGTAGTGGTCTGACTGACTAAAAAGATTCTACTGAGGTACATGTGAGGGAAGGGAAGAAGTCTTATGCTCAGAGGTACACTGAATTTCTAGGAAGCTTGAAAAATTTCTACTGGAGCTCCTAAAGAGCAGCCCAGAGAATCAACTTGAAGTAAGCAGACTTGATCCCAGCTGAGAGCAAGGACATTATCTCTCAGTGCTCTTCACAGAACTGTTTTTTGATTTTGAAAACAGAAAACCATGATAAGAAGGGAGAAGAGATCCTCTGTCTCAATAAACTCATGGACATGGCCACAGCCCAGAGTGTCAGAGTTCATCTCCTCTGCTCTTTGGCAAATCTGGATCTCAATAGTGTTGATCAGTTAGGCCCTTTGGTGTCCTACTTCCAAGCCAAATAATAGGAGAGAGGTAAAAGCTTCTCTCTAGTACAGTTGACCAGGGTAGAGGGGTTTTCAGGGCTAACCATGCCCTGTCTGGAATACTGTGCTTCAGAATAACATCATTCCTGGTACATTTGAGGACCCTGCATCAAAAGAATGATGTGGGTAGGTCTAGATCCTTCTGGTATATCTCTAAATCACTCTAGTTGTTCTAAGAAACATAGCTCTAGTTAACACACAGGGTCAAATCTGCAATTATGGTACTTCTATTGTTAAATTCTTAAATCAGTTATAAGGATGTCTGCAGAACAGAATTAAGACATGGAACAGACTAATTAATACACCTTCAAAATGTTTTTTTTTCCCAGTATGTCACAGACCAAAGTCACTCCACTTGCCTAAAACCTTATGAAAGTAAAATCAGATGTTCCAGTGTAAGCTCTGTGTATTATATGCCTTTTCTGAATCTGAGACAAAACACAAGTTACTATTTTTTACTGAGTGATTATAATCCTAACGTATTTATTATTAGTTTGGCAATACGTTTCTTGCAATCCACATCACTATTTTAATCTCTCTAAAATACCTCATATTTAGCAAAGAAATTACAAATTTTTCTGAAATAAGCACCATTCCTCATTGTAACACATGGCATCCATCCAGATGTTGCGTGACAATAAGTATTGATGATATCTAAGGAGGAAGAGACGGGTCATTGCAATGGCAGAGCAGAAACAACTCAGAAAACATTGGAAAAAAAACAAACAGAAGAGACTCAGATATGCCTCCTGAATGTTCAAAGCCCTCACTTTTCAATTTGATTGAACTTGCAGTACTTTTACAGAATACGTAGTGCCAATAAAAGCTAAACATGCACATCTTGTGGATAATAATTTTGAAAATGACATGTTCTGCCCCACAACAGCCCAGATCCCTGAGGGCTGCCAGAGAGAGCAGCAGATGACGAAATTTTGGAAGTGTTGCTTGTGAAGATTTCTGACAGAGAAACATTTGCAGCACCTTTTTGCAAATATCTTCCTCAGAGGAGGAATGAGCAAGCTAAAACTTGCCCATTTTATGCACGCCCTTTGAGGAATTGGTCTGAAGGAGGAGTGTGAGATACATTGAAGGAAGCAGCGAAGAGCCACCCTACTGGAATAATCTTCCAAAGCCTATGAGAAGACAATCAAAACTGGTGCAGAAACATTTGCACTGCAAGGGCAGATAAGGCCCAGAATATCTGGAGGAAGATGATGCAGGATGGTGGGTAGCTACTGAGGGGGGAGGAACTCCAGACTGACACATCTTCTAGGGCTCACATAACCACAGACTAAATAAAGTTGAAAGGGATCACAGTGGGTCATCTGGTTCAACTTCCCTGCTTATGCAGGGTCATCCTAGTCCAGCAGGTTGCACCTGTAGTGGTGCAGGAGGTTATTCTTCCCAGATGTGGGACCCTACATTTGGCTCTGTTGAATTTCAGCCTGTTCTTCTGCCCATCTCTCCTACCTGTTGAGGTCCTTCTGAAGGGTTGCACAGAGCATGCAGGTGGGAAGGAGGATCATGAAGAGGAAAGACTGTGTTAAAATAGACTGTATCACGTAGAAAGAGGTTAAAGAGAACACAACTGGACTAGAAAACCGAATTTATGTGATAGGATACCAACAGATTGCAGCTATTCTGAAGAAGCCAGGGAAAGAAAAAGAAAAGAGTCAGAATGGTTCTAATTTCAGACTCATTTATGCACAGAAAGTATTTCAAAACTTATAGTGGTGACTGGTTGTGATTTGTGTCTACACATGTAAATATGACTTCTACAGTTGCCAGTGCTGATGTAAAATCAAACTTGCCCCCAAATAATGGAAACAGGAAAAAAACCCTAACCGTGATCACACAGAGAAATTAGACACCTGGTTGTCAGCAGCCTCAGTATATTCAGAGAGATACCAGAACTCCCCAAAGAATATATAGATCCAGCTAAAGCAAATTTGGAGAGATACAGGCAGGAAATCCTTGGAAAAGCAATAGCACAAAACATATGGGGATGCTTTACTTATATTTAGTGGTTTTTTATACTACCTTACAAAGGTAAGCTGTTTCACAGATGTTAGCTGCTTATAGCAACTAGTTATAACAGGGGTCTGAATATAATTTTCTGAGCAATTTGAACCACATTTTTTCATGTGCTGGGCTCTACAGATGCCCCTGTGCTTCAGATCTATTATGGATTATATACCCAAGATTACCTTATTAAAGCTTAAAGTAATTTTGTGTAATATTTGCTCAATACCTCTTGTGTCTGAGCAAAATTAAGGTAATTTTTTGGAACTGAAAAAACACTTCTGTTTGTAAAATGGACTTACAGAATTTTGCCAGTTGGAAGGGGTCATTATCAGTCTAGCCCCATTAGTGCTATCAAACTATAAACAAATATAAGTAAGTCAAAATAAGCCCATTTTTATTGCCCTTGGCTGTCCTGATGATACAAAATGAAACCAGCAGAAGTTCAATATTTTAATCTTTAGGCATATTTCAGGCATGTCCTTTTGCCTAAAATAAGCACATTGTTGGCATGAACTATAAGATTTTTACAGGCTTAAATAAGTGTTACGACCTGTACCTGAAAAGCACTATCACTGTTCAACCTTCATACCCTTCAATTTTAATACTGTGTTTGAATGTGAACTTGTTGTGTACTTGTAGTCAGAACAAAGTGTTCAAGCAATTGTTGAGTTCTGGAGATAGCAAATTCAAGCTCCTTGGTTGTTTAAACATCTTTCTTAGAACAGTATTCATGATTCAAATTGGTTAAAATCTTTATTAATTTATGCCTCTATAATTATTCTACTCAATCCAGTGGAGTAAAAATAGCCAGAAAATAAACATGCTGTAATATCACACACATGTATGGCCATAGTCGTCTCTTGCAGCATTAGTACAGCCTCCGCTACAATGTTTCATGAAAGTGTTAGAGTGTCTGCAAATGATCAAAGATATGTGATGTG